TTAATTGCAAAATTGGCTTCATCTGTGAGAGAGTGAAATTTGCTTAAAGAGATGCAGTAGGAGATGTGAAATGTACAGAAAATTGCTTAACTTTTTGCAGTGACTTTTTTCCTAAATGTTTTTAAAACAATAAATTAGTTGAAGATGCTGTCTTATTCAAAGACTTTTAAAGTTTAGGGAGGGTTCTGTATAATCCCAGTCCTGCAACTGGATTGAAAGTCCAGCTTTATGCATGGATCATTTTGTCTATTAGGCTCTGTTTCCAGGACTCCTGGCCCTGGAAAGTTCTTACAGACTTTCCTGTTAGGGAGATAATTGTTAGTTAGGGCAGTGAACATGAAAACTCAGCTCCTCTAGAATCTTTTGTACTGAAATGCCATCTCTAGACATGTCTCTGTGCTTTTCTAATGAGAAAGTGGTATCCTTCTGAGGAGGCAGGTCCCATCTCTGGATCTTCAAATGACCCTGCATGTGGTTTCAAGAGGCTCTGCTGAACCAGCAGGACTACAGGGCACTGGGACTGAGGCCCAGCTGTTTGGTGGCAGCCTGTGTTGACTGGCACCTGGTTAAATAGTTATGCCAGTGGCAGGGAAACATTGGATAGCAAAAGGTGTTTCTGGGTACGAGGATTTTGTTGTTCACAACTTGAAGTCCCAAAGCAAGCAGCAAGTACAGGCTGAACTCAGAGCCAGGAGCTCTATACTCAAAAGTGCCTAGGGGGTAAGCTTTGGGTTTGTTTCAATTCCCCTAGAAGGAGAACATCTGTTTACATCTTTGCAGATTTATAGATAGAATGATGGGGTCATGTATATTCTTCTCCTGTATAAGGGCTGTATTACAAAAGCATCCTGTTGTTAAAAGTGGAAAAAAAAAAAAAATCCTCTCTTTCTTCTCACAATCTAGTTACTGTACAAAGGATCTCATCTAATTCCTTTCATCCCATAGGAAAAAGTGTGTCTGTGATATCCTTGTTGCAGTAGTTCTCTTGTGTAAAGATGCTGTGCTGTGAGATGGCATGTGGTATTTCCTTGAAGTGGTGATTTTGCTCTGTACATAAGGAAGGGAGAACAGTGAACCACGGGTGTGACCAACAACTTCAGTGAGGACATGTTTTATATGCATGTGACCTTTCAGTATGAGCAGAACTGTGACTTGCACTCATGAATTCAGTTGTTTGTTCGATGTTCATGTTTGTGTACATGTACTCTGGGGAAAGGTGGGGTAGCTTTGGGACTGAGATTGTGTTTAGTAAATGTCTTAGGTGGTTTCTCTTAAGGGTAACTATGTCTTGTCCTTTATAGAAGTTTTGCATTTTTAAAAACCTGAAAAAGCAGTGCTAGTGGTGTAAGGTTGGCTGAAAATGGAAAAAGAAGAATGCATCGCATGAACAATCCTCCTCTCCTGTTTGGTTTCATACATTCCCTTGTATATAACAGTTTGTACTGAAGCGTCTGTCCTAATTTTGTGCTATTACTGTACTGTCTCCCTCTCATTTGCAGAGAAGGCAGGTGGAGCTAAGGAAAAAGGGGAGCTGGGATAGAATCAGACATAAAGAGTGGAAAATGAATTGGGATGAAATGATGCATATGTGTCCAAAGAGATCTGATCATAAATGTGTGCCAAAAGAGAGGGGGAAATGGGAGAACAGTCCTTGCTTGTGTTTTTTACTCCATCCAGACCTAGTAGGAAGGCAAAGGAGGCACCAAATGTTCAAAGGATGTCCCTAGCCAAAAAAGCAGGAGGTTAATTTTAAAAAAGAAAAAGACAATTTCACTGTTGTCTATATAGTAAAAATTGATAATGTTATTTATGTTGTTGCATATTATTATTATTGATAGAACTGAAAGCACCTTTATGCATCTGTGTGTAGGACTGTATGAAAGAATGTCCCTTAAATCTGTGTTAAACAAAAAACAATATAGTTCCTGTTGGTCAATGTGGCATTGCAAGTGTTTTACATAACCTCTGTTTTTAAGGGATGGACTCTTCAGTACTGTTTCACACCTGCCAAATGCATAAATGGTTGAAATAGTGTGTACAGAGAAGCTCTGCAGGAGAACCTTGGAGAACCCTGTTTGCACTGAAGCATCATCACATCAAAACTGTCCATATAAAAAGGAAAAATTGTATTTCTTAAAAACTCTGTGAATCCTATGGGAAGCACTTTGTTACTCTTTCTAATAAAAAGTATTGCCGTCAATGAGATCTGTGAATTCTGTGTGGTGCTTTATTCAAAGTTACTTGGATGCTTTCAGAATGTCATGGTAGGCCCAGAGGAAATGGGGCAGTGTTCAGATATCCACTGAAATCAGTTAACTTGCAGTTGGTGGAGAAAAAAGTGCAGTACAAGAGCTGAATAAACTGCATTAGGTCTCTATGGCTGTATGCAGCAAGTTACACTAAATTAAAAGAAAATATATAGTAGAGCTAGATGTTAACATATAATGGCAACATTATGATGCAAAGTAGCTTTTATTTCACAGCATATCTATTTTGCATCCAGAGCAGCCTCTGAAGGGAACCAGGTGTAGTCAGGGGTGTGAAAAATCCTTTGATGTGACAATTGCTGTGCCACAGAAAGGTTTGGGGGTTTTCAGCTCGTTTTTTTTAGATACACATAGAACATTATGTGGTTCAAAACAAATCTACTTCAAACTGTTGTTTTGATTTGCTTCTGCAGGTCAGAAAGGTGTTCATTCTGGCACATCCAGCAGACACCAAAATGTATCTGTGTTGCTTAGGATGCCCAGTGAGTTAAGCAGTTTATGTTTTTTTTTTAAAGTAGCAACGTTGAATTTTGGTCCTTTAAACTCTTACTGGTGAATGTGCACAAAAGAAATAATGCTTATTCATGAATAAATTCAAGCCTTCAGGTTTTATTTTAGTTAAAGTATCTTTGTCAGACCTTTTCTAGGGTGCGTGTAAGTTCAAAACAGCCTGGCTTTGACTGATTCTTTCCATCCTGCGCTTTAGTCTGGGGTTTGGGAACTTCTTAGCCTCTCCCCTCTGCCAGAACTGACAGCTTTATCTGCTTGTCCATTCCTCCTTTCGCTCTGGTGTTTCATTCTCTAGGGGTGTTCACTTTGAACAGTCTCTCCCTGTGCCAAGGGTTCAGGCTTTTTCATCTTTCAGTCTTCTTTAAAGCCATCTAGACAGAAAATCCATTTTCAGATCGGTGTTTTGTTTGTTTTACTGTGTGCCTGCTTAACACCAGAGGGGAAAAAATTAGAGGATTTTTAAAAAAGATGTGTATGCTGGTCAGTCACTTCTTTTTTACAGTGCTTATCTGCTGGTTTATATGATGGTTATCAAACAGGGATTTGCGATCACCAAAGAGAGCACTGAAAATGTGGAGAGTGAGGAGCTGTTGGGAGGTTGGCACCAGGATTTTGAGAATAGATGGGTCAAGCAGCATGTGGCTTAAGAGTTGTTTCAAGCTTAAACAGGCAGGTGGACTTGTAACTTCCCTTAACTTCTGCCAATGACTTGGTTGCTTCTGGGAATATTTCCAAACGGATATAAAATCATCAGTATTCCTTCTACATGCTGAAGAAAACTGAGCTCTGTTTTACACAGAGTTAACAAAGGAGATGAGAATGGAAATTGGACTAATAATAGTGAGTTTTAACTTGCATGCAAGCTTCTGATCTTTTCAAATTCTGATCTTGTACCATGCAGATAATATTTGTGTCTTGTGTGCAGTTGTCACAAGTCTTCATTCCCCCCCCAGCCTATATATATATTTTCTAGTCAGTATAAAAGTGAAGCTGCTGTGATGATAATTTTTTTTGCTCCAGCTTATTGAGAACTACGCACCCTCTGTTTCCCCTCAAGTGGCAGGAGGGGTGTGACTGGGTTAAAGGACTTCTGGTGAGAGGAGCTGCTCTTGCTGCAGCCTTTGGGCATCTGTCTCCTCCCCAGGGTACAGCAGGCTACCAGTACTGTTGAAATACCTGGAGTCCAGGTGGCATGGAAGGGGGAGGGACTGTTACACCACAGTCCAAGGGATTTGATCAGGCAGTGTTTGAGACAGAGCTGTTACAGAGTGCAGTGTCCAGATTTTATGTTAATTTATTGAAATTTAATTAAGCTCCATTCTTTCTTGGCTTGTCCTGGTGCATCACCTTGTGTTTGGAATGAATGTTGCTCGTGGCAAATTGTTCTGCACCATCTGTGTGTACCTAGGCATCTTTCAGTTGTACCATTAACTGCATTTTAAAACATTACAAGGGAAAAGGGCTCAACTTCCAGTCCTTATTTGGATGAGGGTTTAATTCATATATGTGAGAAGGGAGCCAAATTAGTCTCTGGCACTCTGCTGAGGGCTTCCTTTTAAAGGAAAAATATGCTAACTGATGTGGGAGTGATGGATGTACGGGGTGCATACATTTGCATACTGTCCAGAATGGATGGTGGAAGGTGATCATTCTTCTGTCCTAGTTCACAAATTAATTGTCTAGTTTTTATTGTAGCAATCTTCCTCAAACTAGCTGAAACATACTTCCTAGGTGCAAGAAGTCCGTAGGAAGGAAATGAATTATTAATTAAGGAAAATATTTTGCCAGCCAACATCCTGGTCTGTAGCAGGAAGTATCTTCTTGACTTGAATAAAATTTGAGTCAGTGCTTTGGTTTATTAAATCTTCATGTTGAATATTTTGCCTGTTTAATGTTTTAAACTATTCTTTCATTCAAGTCCTTTCTAAAAGCTGGTAATAGCAGTCCAAAATTCTTGAAAGCCAGTAGGTGGCTTTCTGTCAGTAGGTGTTACCAGTGGGGCTGAAGGTAGCCTGTGAATATGGAATGGCAGGTCACAGGGCAAGACTGGTGCATCTTTAATGCTACCTGGCTGGTGTTACAAAGCCTTCAAGCAGGTTTTTGGCATTTCCTTTGCTGTCACTTTCTGTATTTATGCATCTTGTTAGGTGCTGAATGAGAGCTCGTATTAGCCAAGTACCTGATTTCCTCAGGTGTTTCTGTGAGCTTGTTCTGTGCTGCTGGACAGACTCCACAGAGCTGGGCACATTACTGTCCTTTGCTTCTTGCTAAGAGTGGAAATACTGTCTGGCATCCCACAGTCATGTCCTCATCCTAATAAGATTAGGAAAAGTGTGATGACACAGTTTTACTGAGGGAGCAAACATTTCTGTGCCTCTCTGAATCTTCCTGTTGCAGAAAGAAAAGGAAAAAAATGAACAGTTATGAGTCTTATTTTTGATGCTTTGTAGATAAGAGAACTAAAGGCATGCAAATGTCTACTTTTGATGCTTTGTAGATAAGAGAACTAAAGGCATGCAAGTGTTTGAGTAATTTATTTTTTCATTTTGCTTCCTAGTTTCTTCATTCTGTCTGTGATTAGAGAGATAAGAAAGTTTTTGGCTAAGCTCTGTTAGCAATAGAGTTTAACTTGGCTCTGAGTTAACAGGGTATTCAACACATACATACAAATTGCTGTATTTTTTTACCTTTCCTTCAGAATATCTATTTTTTTCTTGTTCTAATAAATTAGCTTAGCTTGGGTTTTTTGTTTGGTTGTTTTGGGTTTTGTTTTTAAAAAAAGAAAGAAAACCAAATTCCCCAAAGGCTTTGGGGAGCCTCTATTGCTTGCTTTGGCTATACCTCAGTGGTGGTGGGACTATGGGACAATTTAGTGTTTTAAGCCCTGTTCTTAAGACCTGGCTGTCTTGTCAGCTGGGCTTTACCAGCTGCAGGGGAGAGGGGTTAAAGTATAGTTAAGACTTGAGATTAATTGAATTTACTTGTGCACTGGTGGCTTTGCTCCAGTTTCCCAGGAGACTAAGCCATGAGTTGTAATGACAATGTTTTGCAAAGAACTTTAGAAAATGAGCTAAACATCCAATAAAAAGAATTGAGGTCTTAATGAGTAACTGTTCTGCTATTAAGGCTCTGTTCTTCCTTTGCTACTAAAAATAAATAAATAAATAAATAGATAAATAAATAAATAAATAAATAAATTTGTGCATTCTAATGTTCTTCATTAAAGTAATGAAGACTGGTAGCACAGATCCTTTTTGATGTTACCCTTTTCCCACCTTTTCTGAAAGCTTCTTTCAGGACTGCGACCTTTCTTTTTCCACTCTAAATCCCTGTGTAATACAGACACTAGAGGAGAGAGGAAAAAACAAGAAAATTTAGCAATTCCCACATAGAAGGCACTCACTTCCTGTGTAGAAGTAGTGCAGGCTGATTTTTCTTCTGTAAGTGCTTCAGAGTTCTCCTGGGGAAGCTCAGAATCTGTTTAATTCAATGTCAGCTCTGCTCCTGTATCATACATGTTGTTTCTTCTTACTTGTTTTGATGAGTAGCATTTAAAAGCAGGTTTGTGACTGAGCTTACTGGGGCCTGCTGCTGAAAGCTCCCTTTGAATCTTCGCAGTGATTTTGCAGAGAGAGGGTTCTGGATGAATTCTATAAAAAGAATAAGAGGACGAGAGCAGTTAGGGCAGGGCAAAGAGTTGTGCTGGGGTGTGGGAGATGCTCCTTCCATTCTGACATGAATTCAGCCCTGGGGATTTTTTCAGAAAGCTGAAAGCTGCAAAATCACTGTGAAGATTCAAAGGGAGTTTTCAACCTTTAATAACCTTTCCTGTAACACAAAGTCATGAAGAAGTGTGCCAGAAATAAGATGTTTAACTGCCATGGTATCTGATAAGATAAAAAGGGTTTTTTGGAGTTTCCCATAAAACAGTGAAGTAGTCGAATCTTTTATTCCCTTAACTTTCAGCACTGTTAATAATTCATTTCCTACATTCCTGGTGTTTGGGTTTTTTCCATGTTTGTAGTCAATGAGTATTAGAGTTAATTTTTATCTTCTGAGCTCTAACATTCTCCATCTTGACATTTTTGTGCTATGTTTTTATTCAATCCTTTGTCATTCATAATGAGCTGAAAGCCTGTTAGATGCTGCTGTTGACAGGGGATTTCTAGCCCTGCCCAGAAAAATAACCTTGTGTTGCCCTGTGTCAGCCTGGGGCCCAAGGTGTGTCTCCAGCAAGGCTCACTCCTTGGCGGGTTTGAAGCAAATCTGCATCCCGCCTTTACGGCACCCAAGGACAAAATCCATCAGGATTGTTTCATGACAGCAATGTTCTGAAGGATAATGTGGGTTTTGACAGAATTCACCTGCATCTCCAGTGACCTTCAACAGGGCAGGCACGTGCTGCCCCTCCTTGCATGGGCAAGGATAATTCTGTCTTTCTCTGGGATTGTAAAGCATTTGCCTAGATTTCTGCTTGATGGTTTAGGTGGAATCATTTGCCAAGTGCATATTTGCATGGACTAAAATAGAACTTTAAAAACAAATTAAGGGTAGGTTTCTGATTTTCCCCTTTGGGGCTTTTGAAAAGGAATACATAGAATAGTTTGTTTCTCAAATAAAGAAGTGACATTTGAACTACTCTTTTGTAAAATGAAAACACAGGGAGTCTTTAAATAAAGCTTCCCATTTCACCTCCCAGGACATCCTGGGGTTTCCATATGTCTTAGCAGTTGCCTGAAGAGCTGTGCCAGAGCCTTGTGGTGGCTGTGTTTCAGAAAATACCATGTGATGCCAGCTGAATGTGTGTGGGTGTCCTCTGTGTATTGCTGAATCAACATTGTTTACTTGCTGAACTCAGAAGCACTTTATCATGAGGAAAAGAAATGGAGTTTACTGCATGGAAAATGTATACAGGCACAAAGGTCCATGCCATCATTACTGTAAAAAAGTACTGAAGCATTCTGTGGAAAAAATTCACAGTTAATAGTGCCTTACATTGGGATGATTATCTTTGTTATCTCTTCCTGCCTCAGTGCAGGATTTGCATTGATAAATCCTGCTTTACTAGCAGCAGAAATTTGCAAAACCATTCTAGCATTGCAGTTCACAGATAGATAGTAATAATATAGATAATAGATAATATCTATTACCTTCCTGGCTGGACAATGAGCTGTCACAGAAAAAAAAAATTACTAAACCTTCAATTTGTTTCTTTCAGGAGTGTCCTCTTTATATTCTGCTACTAATAATGCACACATAAATGGAAACTACTGTATTATTTAGAGGGATGGTGCTACAAAATCCAGTTTAAAACATCTTCACATACTGCACACAGTACCTTAAATTACGTAGAATCTCATGTCTTGAAACGTAGGTCTTTCATCTTAAGCATCTGTGCAGGGGCCTCCTTCCTTGAGCTGTGCCTGGCAGTTCCCTGGCTCCCATTCTGGTCCCCAGCTCCACAGGAAATGGGGGGTTCTGCACTCCCCTCTTCATCAGTCATAATATGCTGGTCCTGAAAAGTGTCTCTCAGACACAAAACTAAAGCTCAAATGAAGATGGGAAGGAACAATCAAATTCCCCTAAGGATCACAAAGAGGGGTGTTCAGCACTCAAAGGCATCAACATCAGAAAGCCAGTAGGTACTTGGGTGCCAGCTTACAACAGAATCAGCTGCAGATAGCTGCCTAGGTCTGGACTGACTCCTGAGTTTCAGACAGCCTGAAGAACCATTGGTTGTTTAATTAAATTGAGCTTTTACTTGGTTTGTGTTTGGTCACTCAAGAGATCTCCAGCTCTTCCCAGCAATGGACAGCTTGGACATGTGTGAGCCAAACTGCAAATGTGTCCTGGTGCTGAGACTCTTTTGTAGCAGTTCTTTATAGTGCCCTCTCTGCATCAGTTCAATCACTACTGTCTCCAAAAATTAACTGCTGCAAAGCTCTTTATGAATACTTTTGGACTCTTAACATGCTAAAGCATATTTCTGCTTTAGCATGTTATTTCTTTTCTTCATTGTGGCTTCCTGCTTCTTTGTGGGTAAGGGCAAAGCAGGAACCAAGCTCTGTAGTAACATTAACTTGTGCAGAGAGGGAAAAAAAGAATATAAATTATTTATGTGCCTCATGGCTTACTTTTGAGCTCATCTTCAGGAAGCTCAGCTTTTTTTAAGCCTTTGATACTTTCATAGGTGAGCCTTCTCCTTTAAAAAAAAAGTAAATAAAAATAGTTTTTAAGCCTTTTCCTGTATTTGGCTTTTCCAGGAAGTTTAGCACATTTCTTGCATTTGCTTGGGTTTCCTATTTTGCCTTTTGAACAGTGAAATTGTTGAATGGAACACCTGAAGCTCAGACTCCTTAGAGTTAGCAGGACACTGCTGCACTTTTCTAAAATTGCTTACTTAAGGCTGCCTATTTCCATACCAGAAAACTTACCCTTCTGCACAGGACTACATTTGAAAAAAAAAAAAGTAAATTTATTTCTTAGAGCCATATACTTTTGATAACTGATTTCAGAGCCAGGACTGATGCAGCAGACATAGCCAATCTCTAAATCAGTAGGTATTTATACAATACAGGAAGAAAAGTGCAATCAAACTTCAACTGAGACAAGGGAAATGAAGAAAAGCTGTCAGGCTGGAATAAGTTTTACAGGAGAACTCTTGACAGTGAGGTCTTGTAAAATATCTGTACCACATTATATGTTTGTTCATGTTTTTAGTAGTTATGGCAGCATAAGAATTAGGTATGTAATGAACTTAAAAGCAATAGGGAGGATTATGCAAAATGCTTCAACATTAAGGCCTGGAGTTATAAAAAAATAAGTAAATTTCATAGCATGATGTGCAAGATCATACAGCTCTGAATTCATGAAAAGGCACTCTAAGAGTTCATCTCTTGAAAGTGACAGAAGATGGCTGGAGCTTCAGTTGCACACTGGATGAACAGGAACCAAGAAAAAGATGTGGCTGTCAGAAAAAAATAATCCTAGGATGTTTTGGATATATTTTTACTAGACATGTAACAAGTAATAGCATCACAATGATTTAATTTTTTTTTTTTAATATAATGTAGTACAGATATTTTCAAACATTTTCCTGAAAATCTTAATGGAAGATGGCTTGTTTGTAAATGTAAAATGAAGTCATGAAGCAAAGCATAATAATGCTGTGGCTGCAGGGTAGCTAGATAAAAACTTTTAGTAGCTTTAGTCCAGATATTAGGCAAAGCCCTCATTTGAGTAATACTCTGAAAGATTTACATCAGTGACAACAAGAACTGGAAAGAGCCTTTAGGATAAAGCTTGGTTGTTTCCAAAAGGCATGCTATGGGATGGTTGTCTTCAGGAGTAGAAGACCAGACTCTAGCTCTGAAGCGAATTTCTTCCAGTCCTCTGGTACAGCTACAAATAAAAGCTGAGCTATTTCACTTGCCCTCTTCCAGAACTATCAGTGCAAGGAACCACTTTTAAGCCCTCTGCAGAGATCACCTTTTTGCTCATCTCCTCTTTTGATTGTGAGCACATTGCAGTGCTGTGTAGGACTCACAGAGATGGTCTAACCTTGTCTTTGCTCCAGCTGTGCCTAGTTTAACTGAAGGAAGATTAATGTCTGAGGTAACACAGTTTATATTCGCTTCACACTGTTCTGTTCCCAAGTATCTGATTTCTCCAGGTTGGAGGCAGAAGTGATATTATCTCCCATTGAACAACCCAGCTGATATGGTCTGTGTTAGACCATGGCAGTGGAAGAAAGGAAGGAGTTAACAGATTAGGTTCTTCAGTTATTGCCAAATTCTCCTTGCTTGCATTTGGTTTGCTCAATAAACCACACATTGTAGGCAATGTGCCCCCAGCACCCTGGGTTGGACATTTAATTGCTTATGACCACAAAAACTGATAATCTTGTGGCCAGTGATGTGAGCAACACTTCCCTTTCCAGTTTAACAGAAATTGCCCAGCAGTTACGGTGCTTCCTGCCCTTCCACGTGCAGTTCAGCAGCACACGGATGCCTGGGCAGGAACAGCCTCCCACAGGAGCTGTGGCACGAGGGAAGCCTTTTCAGCTCTGGCTCATGACTCTAAGCTAACCAAGCCAGCAGGAAAACCACAACTGCCATCACCTCAGGGATTGCTGCAGGGCTTCTGCAGTTGGACAAGGTGACTCACACTCAGCCAGTAAAACCCTGATCTGCAAAGCACCACATGTGCAGGTGGCATTGCTCAATGTACATCTTCATCAAGTGAGCCAAAAAATACAGACTTATGGAAACAAGGAGCTGAATTCAGCTTTAAAAAAGGGGCAGCCCAAAGATTACAACTCTGATTAAATTTTTCATACAACTTGGATTAATTTCTCCTTTCTTCTGTTGAAGATGACTATCTCCCATTTTGTAAAGGTGAAAGGAAGGGCATAAATAAAATAGGTCATCTATGAGAACATCAAAGCTAAGTGGGATGACACTGCAAGACCAGCAAGTTTATGCTGCTTCATCCTGCATATAATAGTTTTCCTTTACTACAATGTGCTTTTCAAAGTGCAAAGTTTCCTGGAAAACACACCACAGTAACACAGACCTGTACTCCAAGCCTGTTGGTAGGTGTGGTTAAAACACATATGTTCTCTTTAAAAGCATGTACATACATTCTTTGTGCCTGAAGAAAACACAGTGGAAAGATGCCATTTAAGAAATTTACATCCCAGTAACTTACCTGACATGTTCTCAGGTGCCAGCATAGGATCAGTGATCTCCCACAGGGCCGAGTTCATTACCACAAAAGTAGCATATGGTATAGTTTTCCATTAGTACCTGCAAACTTCTATGCATCTGATGCTGCAAAATCCTGTCGAAAGAAATTGGCAAAAAAAAAAAAAAGGCAGAGGGTTGAAATCAGTAATTTTCTTAGGGAGGTATGGAGTGGTTGTACTTGGGAGCTGAGATTAGGGGAGGGATCAGAACCGAGTCTGGCCCTGCAGAAGTCCAGTCTCACACTTCCCAGTGTTGGTTTCCCACTCCCACTTTTGCCAGAGGCCCACACTTCAGGCAGTCATTTCAGAATGTGGGAAAACATCAGTGACCAGTCTGAACTCAGCTTGGTAACAAATTATTGGCTGCAGTTCCAGTAAGAAAAACATATTTTTCTATTGGTGTGCATTTTCCTCAACAACCCCACTAGAAAATTCCCACTCAGCTTCTGAACCTACTGGGCCTGCAGAGCCTGAACTCTGCCTGCCTGGGCAGCTGCCAGCAGGATGCATCTTCCAAGCATCCAACAGCACTTACAACCCATGATGTAGGCAGGTTGTCCAGTGGGAACGCCTAGAAATTATATGTAAGTGTTTTAGTGCACTAATGGATAAGTCATTATCTTTCACCTGGGAGCCTCATTCAAAGGCACAATTCTTGCTCAAGAAAAACAAGCTTGAATTCCAAGATGCACTGTTAGGTAAAGCTGCACGCCCTCGAATATCAGCCTGTGGGATGTGACTGGGATAAATGAAGAAATGGTGCTGGCAGGTATGATGTGAAGTAAAACAAAGTCTTCCACAACTGACTGAAGAAACAAGTGATGTTTACTATCTGTTGAAACACAGCAGGGGTTCATCTGTCACACCTTAGTGCATTGTTAAAAAGTCAGCACAACTGTGGCTGCAGTTGCCATCTCAGGGGAGTCCAGATCCTGCAATGGAAATAGCACAGAGAGCTTTCCAGGAGCTTGAAGGCTTAACCTAAGTGGACAATTTGTTTTTATAGTGGTGAAAATAATTGACACCATCTTTGTTAATCACATCTGCCATCACTGCTGCCCCCCAGCGAATGCTGCAAAAGACAACCGAGTATGGCTGGCAGAATTTCTTTTTGTCTTCAAAGTGAATCAGGCAGGACAAAAAAATCAAACACATTCTCAAATTTGCACTTCTGTGGTTCTTTTGAAATGAGACATGTTGCCAAGCCATTTCTAAGAGAATACTTATTTCTTAGTGTTTGCTATTTACTGGAAATGGTGTAAACGCGAGTAATTCCTGTTCCACTGAAAAATCTTTACCTCATTTTAAATTGTTTGTAGGAATCTTAAGCATAAAGAACAAGATTTGTCTCAGCCCAAATTCCATAAGGGGAGGGTTTTTTAATGAAACACGCTTTCTGGCAGGGCTCTGTTGCCCAGTGACCTGTGTGGTACCCTGTTGCTGCAGGGAAGGATGACACACACACAAGAATTCACCACCACCACCACCTCACGAGTGCCAGCAGGGAATCAGAGCAGTGTATGGGAGTCCCTGGAGCACCACATTCTAGGAAACTGTCCAGCTGATCTCCTCACCCAACTGCTCTTGTTAACAGTTTAATAACCTTCTGGGGTATTTTGGGGCCATCAGGATATTTTTGGCCGGTTACCCCTCCTATCACCAGGCTCTCTCCTCCCCGATGCAGCACCACATGGTTCAGGGTGGGGGGTTGATGGTGATGATGACAAAAGACCTGGGGAAGACGGCAGCTGCCAGGATTCCGATCTGCTCAGGCCTGCCCTGAGCCCCCCACTCCTCCAGCCATGGGAACAGGGCTGGCACTGGGCTGTGTGGAGACTTGGGAACTGCCTTTTGTCCCAAATCTCCCCAGCATCAGCTGGGGAGCCTCGGGGCTGAGCCCAAACACGCAGGGTTAGGACTCTGCTGCCAGCCTGGGAACAGCAGCATGGTCCTGGTTCCAGACCCTAAAGCAGAACCACAGAATATTCTGAGTTGGAAGGGACCCACAAGGGTCATGGAGTCCAACTCTTAAGTGAGTGGCCCATACAGGGATCAAACCCACGAGCTTGGCATTACCAGCACCAGGCTCTAACCAGCTATATCCCAGCACTGGGCTCTGTGTTTCTGAGCACAGCAACACAGGACTTGGTCTCCTGTGTTCCAAGCCCCAGATTTGACCAAAAGAACCTCCTTTCAAAGCTGCACCAGCTAATCCCCATTTCCACTTCCTTAAACCACAGGATTTAGCCTCAGTTTTTTGGCCTCTAAGTTGGCCAAATGAGTCTAATTCCAAGTCCCCAAAAAACACATGACTTGGTATCTGTTTCCAAGCTCAACAGTGCAGAACTTGGTCTACAATTTGCTAACCCTAAAACTGCCCAAATGAGCCTGTTTCCAAGCCCCAAAAATGCAGGACTTCAGGACAGTTTTTCAAGAAGTAAAACATAGTACTTTATATCAGTTTTCAAAACCTTAAACTGCCCCAGATGAGCATGGTTTCAAATCTGCAAAACACAGGACTTCTTTTGTTTTTCAAGCCCCCTCAAAAAGCATGACTTACTGTTTCCGAGTCCTAAACCTAGCCAGTTTGGAAAAGCCATACTAGTTGCCTGAAGGGCAGATGAAAGGAAAAGATAAATTCAATTAAATCTTCATCTCAGACAACTTCATCATTTTTGAGGCAGCTGAAGAGATGCAGGCAGTGTCCATCCTGCTGCTGCTCTGCCACTGGGATTTCTGGTTCCAACACTGCCTTCAGCTTTGATGGCCCTTATTTGACACAACTCCATTAGCACCAAACTCCAGACTAACTTACACAGCCTGGCTGTATCTTTTTATATCCCTGATCCCAATCCAACATTTCTGAGCCAAATTCACCTGCTCTGGCATAGCTGGAAGCAATGCAAGGGAGAAGGTGAAGGATCTCCTGGTGTTCCAATAGATGAGCACAAGTTTCCACTAACCATGCACTACCAGCAGGTCTCAGTGACAGATGCAATTTCCCTTCTGGGTTGAACTGAGCTGCATTGAAATCAGTATCATCTGCAGGAACAGGTCCTGCTGCTCCTCAGAAGGCTCATTAGGGAGCTGCTTGGTTCTGTCAGGTGGGACACACAACTCTCTCCGTGGTAATTAGAGCCTTTGGCAGACTCCAAAAAGGCTAAACTTTTATATGTGCCTATGAGCCTCAAAGCCTGCTGAATTCATAGACATTTGTCCCTGTAGCTACAGCCCCAGTAAGCCCAGCCACAGAGCTCTGTCCCACTTTGTGTCATGGTGACACAGCAATAGCTGTCACTCATTCTGATGGATAAAAAGGTGGCATTTTAGGGGACACTTGGTCTCCTCTATTTAATAGGCCTGAACTGGAGGATCAGTTCTTTGTAAAGTTTTTCTGTACCACCTGATGGCACACTTGCATTAGCACACTGCAGGCTGAAGGCAGCATAAATCAACCAGCACATTCTGGCCAAAGTTGCACCACTTAGTTTCTTCTGCATAATTAACATACCTTTTTAATTGATTACAGGATCCAACACTGGAGTATTGAGTAAAGACAAGCAGGGCATACAAAATAATTACAAGAAAAAGCCCCGCATTTTGCAATTTTTATCCCATATAGTACCTGGATAATTATTTTTTTCTATTTTTTTTTTCTAGTTAATTTGGTAAGAAAGAAACTTGCCATTGCCTTCCTAAGACTTGTTTCCCAAGGATGACAGATTTTCCTTGCCCTCTATTTTCTCTTTCAGAAGGTTTGTAGCAGATTATTTCAATTGCATTTGTTACTAAACTGCAAATCAAAAGTGATTTCTCTCCTCCAAGTAATATAATTATGACCCAACTACATATCACAGAAACAAACTCCAGTGGGCTATATAAGAGTGTGAAGTGTTATCGTAGAATATTTTGGGTAGGAAGGGCCCTTATAGATCATCTGAGTTACCACATTTGCCACGTACCACTGGTTGGTTATCAATACATCAGCAAATGCCACAGATGGTTACAGACCACAAGTAGAACAACTTGCTGGTCTGTTGGATTTTATGACTTTGAGAAGAATGTATTAAAATATTTATTAGCTCTTTACCTGCAGAATCTTGATGAAGGATGTAAACAAGCTGTATCTGAACTTCAACATCTCCAAGTGGGAGCCTCTCAGATAAATGTTGTGGGTAGCACCCGAGAGATTTTGAAGCGTTTCTTGTCCTGACTTCCTCCTTTGCCCACTGAGTGGCAGTAGCTGGGATAATTGCAGCTTCAGGAAAAATAACTGCTAAGCAATGGTAGCAGAAAAGCCATACAGCCATTTTCTCAATTACATTAAGTGGAAATTTAGTCCTTGAGTACTGCTTCTGACACTGGCTGAGCAGAATAAGAGCAGGCACCCTGGTGGCTTGGAGGATGATGAAGGCAGGAGAAAGACTGCTCTCTTTGCTCTCTGACCATCGTCTCTATGCCACCCATTTGAAAAGTCAGTCACCTCTGCCCCAGAAATAATGTTGGTATGAGGATAAAACCAATAGATTTCCTTCTAATAGAGGCCCCTTTTTGCTGGTGAATTTTGAGAAAGGCCATTAGCATCTCTGTAGCAATGTTTCTCTTCTGGTTTTGTATCAGCAGCTTGCGTTTCTGCCATTATTTGTTTGTCTCAGCCACAACCTCTTGATCTCTGAAGGCTATTTTCATATGGTTAGTATGTCCTTCCCACCTCATTTATTTCTATCCTCTCTGTTTATCCTGGTACTTGTGCTTTTTATCAACACCATATGCAAAGTCCTCATATTTGTTACTGGTTCCTACAAATTAGAAATTTTTGTGTCTGTACATTCTAGTGCAAAGGGGATGTGGAGTCATTTTCAGTAACAAAGGAAATATGTTTACATTTGATGTAAACTACCCAAAATGAAAGGATGAAGCAAACAAGCAAGAAGTCTTTGCCATAATACATATGACAAATAATGTAAATTCAGGAGATTTTTTTTCAAATTATATCTAAGAGCATTTGCTCCAGCCTTCATAAAGGAAGGGAAACTGCCTAAGGAACATTATTTGGGAAAGTAATAGCAAGGACAGGTTTTTATGGAAGAGAA